AAACAGATCCAATCTCTAAAATAAATAGGATAATAATTGCCTGTATATGATTAATGTATATCTAATTAGCAGGGTTTTAGAATTGGTGGATGAGTTTAAAATGTTTAGTGAGGTAAGGTTTATTGCTGTCAACAGTATAAGGTTGTTCAAGATTTTAAGAGCAGAAGCTAGATTGTGAAATGAAACTTTAAGAAATGCTTTACTTGGCATTCAGAGGAGGAAAAGTTCCTGTGGTGTACTGCAATAAAGTACTTTAAACTGGTATTAAAATGTACTGTATTTGAAACGGTTACAAAACTCATTTATGCCCCTCTCCTCCTCCTCCTCTACAGGAGAAAGAGCACGTGTTGTTAAAGAAGCATGGTGTTTTATATGTGATCCATATTTAATGCTGCAGAGCTGATGGCAGGCCAGAGCTGGTTATTCTGGGGAAGTCTTATGTGACCCACATGAAAACGCTGCTTTCATCAGTTGAGCTCAAAAAGGCGAATGAGCCTGACATGAATGTTCCGGTTAAATTTCTCCGAAATGTCTCTGGTTTTAATGTCATATGAAATCTTCATTCTGCAGAAATCAGACTGATGATTCATGGTCTAGCAGGCTGTCGCTTCCACCCGTTGAATGACAGGACTTAAATGCTGGCCTGTCACTCCAGGCGTGGACCCTGGTGCTCTTACAAATCTAAACCCTGTTTGATTACATTTCGTTACCACATACTGTAAAGACCTGTTCACATCAAGGACGATAAAGATATAGATCTAAAAATCATTCTAAATATAAAAGAATAGCGCAGTCCACTCACAGTCCATATCATTGGAATCACTTTCAGAACAATTTTGTTCCAGCTGAAATACAATAAAAACATTGACAGCCAATCTGAATGCCATCCTGCTTCGAGCTCGAGTACCTAAAGTGGCAGACGAGAGGACTGCAGCGTTTGTTTATATATAATAAACAGAACGATATTGTGCGTTGGTGTGGATGCTAATATAGTTATCGTTCTGGGTGTGAACAGGCCTTTAGAGTTTTTTTTCTTTGAAACGATGAGACTGCATTGTTTATTAGTGTACATAAATGATTCTGTGTAGAGTTTGAGACTCCCTAAATCACTCTGACAGATGTATGAGCAAACACAAGCTCTGAGTGCTTGGTGAACTGTGTAACAACCAGAACTCTTGCAATGCACTGTGCTGACAGGTAAAGTCTTGTTTCAGGGGAACTGTCTCCTAGCCAGTCTTTGAGTCTCGGACTTATTGAGTAGCATGAACGGTAGCTCTAAGGACTTTGGCACAGCGAAGCGAAACTTTAGCAGGCAGGCAGACCAGCGGCCACATCCTCAATAAGGCAAATGGTTGAAACGAGAATACTAAAAGTGAGAGTGACAGATATGGAGTGCCAAAAAGGGTGAATCTTTAATGGTCTGTGTGAATGTAAACAAGACAGAGAATGGAAAGAGGGTCAGTTTGGCCCTGGGATCAGACCTAAAGTTGCAGAATACAGACAGTTCACTGAATATCTCATTCTTCACTACACAAAAAACTGTAATTTTGCCAGTGGTTGGTTGGTTGTTATGTAGCTTATGAAGGCTGAATTGCATAGTTTTGTATACTATAAGTCCAACAATGTAAAAACAAAAGAACCAGGATAATATACACTTCCGCTGTATATTAAAGGTTTAGGGTCTCTAAGATGATTATGATTTTGATATACAGTGCATATACAAATAGAGTAAAAACAGTGATCTTTTGAAATATTGCATTTTACATCAATAACTTTTTTATTTGAATATATTTTACTATGTTATTTATTCCTGTGATGCAGAGCTGAATTTTCAGCATCATTACTCCAGTCTTCAGTGTCACATGATCCTTCAGAAATCGTTCTAATATGCTGATTTTCTGATCAAGAAACATTTTTGATTATTATGGATGTTGAAAACAGTTGTGCTGCTAATGTTTTTGTGAAAACCATGATTTTTGAGTAGAAAATTCAAAAGAACAGCATTTATTTGAAATAGAATTCGTTTGTAACATTAAAAATATATTTACTATTACTTTTTATCCAGTTAATGTATAATTGCTAAACAAGTATTAATTTATTATCCTAAATGGTAGAACAGTAGTGTAAATCTTTAAAAGGTATGAGGGATTTTATTTGAATTGAGGAATTTATATTTTCAAGCACAACCATATAAATTTAGCTTTGTTATGAAGTTTTTGCTTTTGCCTGTTCTACATATAGGCTAACAAATAACATAACATTACATATAACATTACATAACAACAAGTACATGCATACATAACATAGCATGTACATGCATATATAACATGACATGTACATACATGCATAACATGTACATTATATACATAATGTTGCTAATGTTAAATATTGGAGGGGTTTTCTTGTCTCCCCCATTTGTAGATAAGTTATAATTAGTTGCTTTACATGTCATCAGACGGCTCCTACCCATCGATGTAGGCGGTTCTTGACTTGCAATATGCCACACTGTGGTCTAGAACTCGTGCCTGTCTCTGTGAGACTACAGTTTGACATAGTTGAGCTATATCTCAGACGGAATAGAGAAAAATCTATTGCACATGAAGGTGTGGAGCCAGGTTGGCAGAGCGTAACATTGTACTCACAAAGAGCCAGATGTCATGGAGTGAGAGAAACGCAGGGCATGACAAACATCAGATCATCTTAGGAAGTGTATATTCCCATGTGCATGGTTGTGCAATAGTGCAACACACAGTCAAGCTAACCCCTCCTGTCTGGAGCTATTCTATAGACCTGTTCGTACTGACAGAGCACTAGGATGCGGTTTCATTGGTGTTTTTTTTTTTTTTTTTTGGAGTGTATTAGTAAAGCACAGGTGTGTGTGGGCATACAAGGGTTACGGGAGGGAAGGAAACGGATAAAGAAAGTGCTAAAAACCACTTTCAGTTCATTACGGGATGGCCTAGAGATACAGATGCATGTGCATATTTAGGAGTAATTAAATCACTGACATCTCTTTTGAGGCATGGGGAACGTTCACCCACGCACGCTCACTCATTGTCACATTCCCATACCAGACGGGATGGGCTAGCAGATGGGCTCTCCTTTTTTTTTTTTTCTGTTACAGATTGGACAATGACATCCGAGGAATGACTTTCTCGCTGTTCCCTCAACTCCAACTGTTCACACTTGTCTTCCTTTATCCTATGATTTTGTCAAACTAGGATGCCGTTTACATATCAGTCGCCATCTTTCACTCTCTACAGACCATTCATTATTCTCAGAGAGGTGTTGTCATTGTCTCAGAGATGCAGATGCTGTAAAACTTCTGAAAAGCAAAGGAAGTAATGCCACTTTTGTGTCCCGTGGAAAAAAACCCATCAGGGTAACACAACACTAAAATAATACAATTAACATTAACTAAATAGAAAGAAGACTCAAAGAAGAAACAAAATTATTTAAATAAAATAAAAATGTACAGTAAAATTACATATGTTTAACATGAAGTACTGTTGTATTGTTCCTGTTTTCTGAAAGAATATTTACATATACAGTAGGTTACTTTTTCTACAGTGTAGATTACAATTAATCAACAAAATAGTTCCTTAATTCCCTCATAATGCTAAAGCATTAAAAAAAATGTTTAAACTGTCTGATGTTAATTAATATGGTTAATAATAATTATAGTTAGTCATTGAACTGTAAATTAATTACAATCATCAGGAGCAAATGTGCAAAATATATTCCAAATATTTAAAACTATAAAAATAATTTAGCAGGAAAATAACAACTCCACACACACACACACACACACACACACACACACACACACACACACACACACACACACACACACACACACACACACACACACACACACACACACACACACACACACACACACACACACACACACACACACACACACAAAAAGATGAATAATTGCTACTTTCACACATGAAACACATTAAATTGCATTAAAATTACCACATTATCTTTTCTAGAATGTATTCCGCATCTGCTAATCACGTTTCGCTACCGTTCACTCATCTGCACCAAAATGCTGTTATAACTTTCTTTTTATGTCATTTGTCTTTGGTCCTGTGTATTGCTTGTTTCCAAAGGAGGATAGTTATTTTGTCATAAATAAGATGATAATCTTTAGTTTCAGTATTCAGTCGACTGATTTCTTTATCTGCTCGCAAGGAGAAAAGATCTTGCGTTTCAAAGTCTGTCCAACTTGACAACATATTTTTTACGTTTACCTATCCACACAAACCTACTAAACAGTACATTTTAGTAGAAGTGTTATTCGGTAGGCCTGTCTTCTGCATTAATTAAAGACAGGTCAGGGCTGTCAGTGGAAAAATCTCAGGTCTGTTTAAGCACATCTCTTGCTTAGTCTTGCTTTTATCCCTTGTGCTTTCTGCACAGCTATATATATATATATATATAAACTCATTATGGGCTGCTCGGGCTTTGCCCTTTATTTGTGTCTTAATTGTAGCAGTTACAGTGTGAGTTTTTTTTTTATCTCAGCAGACATACAGTGTGTGTTTCTTGAAGGGTCTGTAGTTCAGTGTAATTCTTTTGAGTGGCTGTGTGTAATGGGTCTCTTGGCTGAAGGCCACTTGATTTCTTGAAGAGCCGATGGACACACACACACACACACACACACACACACACACACACACACACACACACACACACACACACACACACACACACACACACACACACGCGCGCACACACACAGCACTCAAAAGTGGGACTTCTTATCAAGATTGTAACAATTTTCTGAAATAGATTGACTGGTTTAGTTCTTACTTTAAACATTCTGAATCTATTTTCATAAACAGCTGTTTGGTTAAAATTATGGTTTACCTGATGGCAAAAACACATTTAAGTCATTTCAGATCAAATATAAAAATATTGAGAAGATGTTTATATTTAATATAGTCATATTTGACCATTACTGACCCCTCCTTCTGTCTGCCTTACAGTGGGCTCTTGCTCAGCCCAGCGGCAGGTCACAGTTCAGCCAGGGCCCTTGATTCGAACGGAAGGATCTCACATCACCATCTGGTGTAATGTGACCGGCTACAAGGAAGGAGTGGAGCAAGACTTTGAGTGGTCCATGTACCTTTACACCGCTCCCGATCGAGAGATCCGTATCGTGAGCACGTCCCAGCACAGCTACGCCTACGCCTTGTACGCCCAGCGTGTCAACAGCAAGGAGATCTACATCGAGAGGCTGAGCGGAGACTCTGTCGTGCTGCACATCACCAAACTGCAGGCCGCCGACCAGGGCATGTACGAGTGCTACACCCCAAACACAGACAGCCGCTACCTGGGCTCCTACAGCGCCCGTACCAACCTCACCGGTGAGCCCTCCTCCGAACTCTCACTTAACACTCATTTATAATATAGTATGCTTCCAACAGCACTGTTTTTGCATTCATGAGCCATTCTTGCACTCAGACAGGACAGGTTTTCCCACAGGAGATTGGGTAAATGCGGGTTTCACAGATGTACTTGTGATTTTAGTCTCGTCTGAATCAAACACATCTGTGATTTTCTTTAACAACCTTGGTACAAATTACAGAGGAAATTACCTACTGTTTTTAAGATAACTCGGGGGTCCTCTGAGAAATCAAATAGCAATGTCTTGGATTTGTGAGATATTGTTATATAATTTTTTCCCCACACAACTTCTCATTTATTTTGACCTTTCATTATAAACCATAACTAAAGCTGTCAGTCAGCTGCTCAGCAAGATAGTTGTAGTTATGGTATTGTCATTGGGTTTAGAACCTTTTTTTCCCCGCTTTCTGCGTAAAATGGTTGGTAATTCAAACACGCCATCCAGTTTAAAAAGAGAATTAAATCAATAAAATATTAAAAAGAGATTTAAATCAATCAGAGACAAGGTTTTAGTCCCATCTGAATTTGTACATGAAATGATACACTGTTATGGAATATCGGTTATTGACTAAGATTTATTTTTATATGATTGATTGTGTATTTTATTGTTCATGCTCATTTCCCATATTTGTACATTTAGATGAGGTTTTACCATAATCTAACTTGATGTTAATGGTTAAAAACACGATTTAATAACGCTGTTAAATCTTTAGCAAATCTCAAAAGGAATATTAATTTTTCGTATGGTACTTTGTACTGTTGCGATGCCTGAATTCATTTGTAGCATTTACAAATGATTCATTTAAGTTTTATTTTTAACTTATTTAGACAAAATTGTGTTAATTTCTTCAGACAAAATTTTAGATCAAAAGTATCAGCTTATCGATGTCAGCCAAAATTTGAATATTGGTGCGTCCTAATTAAAAACTGTGACTAAAACATTGTTTATTAAACAAATCTCATCTGAATAGTACTACTTATAATTGGTTCTTTGAAACTGATTTTAGAGTTTATCTCCAGGCAATTCTGGCAATGCAGTCTTGGATATGCTTGGAAAGTCACGTTTGGGATCTTTTTTTAAAGTGACATTTGAAGTGCAGCCTTTTTTTTGGAGCCGTCAGCCTGAATCCTCTCCAACTCGTCATTGCTCATGTTAATGGATCTGCGCTAATTGGTGGACTTTTAATGCCTGAGTGGATTTATGCTGCACAAATCAGTCACTGTTCTGGTGGTGTAATAGAGAAGCTACCTGACAGAATGCCAGTCCATCTGTGTGCCAGCCCACCCTATTATTAAGTAGGGCACAGGCTTGTAATGCTGCCTTGCCACCTGCCACCATGATATCAGTATCAATAGTCCTCTTAATTATAATTGTAATTAAACTTTATCCTTCCAGCTCTGCTCACACACACATACCGCTGATGTCTCATCCATTTGTTAGCATAGTCACATGGGCTTGTGAGTGACCGTAACTTATTACAAAATACTCATTGTTAACAGTTCGGCTGTTGATTGTGACTAACCGTGTGGGCTGAGTTGTCAAATGCCAGGCGTTGCTGCATAGGCTCACATGCACCGCATGTCTTGAGAGGCTGCACAAATGGACATGTGGACCAGCAGGAACAGTTTTAATATGGGATCAGTGAGTCATGAGTCGTGTATGGTGTGGGCTGGAGAGCATCACACTGAGAGCCACCTGTTTAAGGACAGGCATGTCCTTGCTCAATACCCCATTTCGAGATCTCTGTGCTTCTTTTAACACACCATCATCCTTTCTGTTGCCTCTATGTGCTAACAGACCTCATATAAGTGCTCCTTTTTAACTATTCCCAACATCACAATAACCATGGTTGTGGGTTGAAAAATAACCCGAGTTAGTCATTGTCACTAGATCAAACCTGTGCTAAACAAAGGGTTGAGGTAGACTCACGTGACATTTACGGCTCAGTGTTCTAATTCTTCTTAAAGGTGCATGTTTTGGCCCTCTAGCGGTTAAAAAACAAAACTGCATGCATTTTGTGGAAGAACATTGTTTTGGTTGTGCTTCGGCTCTGCGTGACTGTGAAGATAAATACGAACAAGACAAAAATAAGTTTTGGAAGAAGATACGTTAAAGTAGCCGGAGCAACTTTTACTCTATTTACGGATATGATGAGACGCACAGGCGAAAACCATCCCGTCAGGTCAAAAATATAAGTACTTATAATAGGCTTACCATAGTGAATCAGGGTAGAACAAAAACACATTTAGGAAGAAGGATTGATGATGTATTGACTGATTATTCAAATTAGAATTTTGAACCAAAAAAAAGTTACATAGTGGACCTTTAATTTTTTGTTTTTAAAATACTCTTTAAAAAAATATAAGAATGTTTTTGGGAATACAAACTTTTTTAAAAATCTTTATTCTTTAGTTCTTAAGAATATTGCATGAACCAGGTGATTGGTTCAAAAAACAAACAAACAAAAAACCCAAAGAAACAAAAATAAACCTGTATACTAAATTGATTGCCCATTAACATAGATAGCAGAATTCAAATTGCAGAGATATTCTAATGTTAATAGTAAATAATTTGTACTGTTCTGTGTCAGCTACTAACACTAATACTGCTGTATTTCATATGAAAATGAAAAGCAGGTGTTGATTTAAATTTAATCCCTTCTCTTGGAACAGTGTGAATTGAAACTATTAGTGTGTTTTAGAGACAAAAACAGTGTTTATATGTCAGGCAGCAGTGACCTTTGCATCTGCTCTTCAACCTGATCTTTCCTCACATCCTGAAATTCCCACAGTGCACCAGGATCTGCTCTAAAACCTCCTTCAACCCTTTATGTTTCTATCAGACAGGATTATGCTTGAAAGAAAAGCTAAGGTCAAAGCTAAAACCTGTGGCTAAGTTCACATGCTCTGGTAAAAACAGATAACGACGTCTCTGCTGCAAAACATAGCGAGCTGCTCTCCACACAGGAAGCTACCTACACGAAAAGAGACTTGATTAATATTATATTAGCATGTTGCTAAGCTAACAACTCAATTTACAACAATTAAATATTGGACTATTTCACCCAATTGTGTGCTACTTTTAATGTAGATTGCCAAAGGATAGGCTACATGTGATTGTTCTTTTATTTAAGGTATCAAAGGCAAAATAATTTTGACACCCACTGCTTAGAAAAGCCTTAGATTAGGAGTGCCTAAAAATACTGTTAGCAAGCTCACTAGCATTTAGAACAAAGCCACTGAAACGACGCAGCATATGTTTGACCTTCAGGGATTTTCTAGTCATTGACAGGAATAACTCGGCTAATCAAAATTGTCAGCCATACACGAGTGTTAGTGTGTGTAGGATGAACACAGTCTGTAGCCTCCTGATGCTGTTTGTGTGTGCGTTTGAGCTAAGCTAACAGCTGAAGCATGTGATTGATCGAAACTGTGGAAGCTGGCAAGGGCAAATGTGATGCCATACATCCTTGCCCTGTGTAATAATTAGTATGCGTGTTTTCATGGATTAATGAATGATCAGTATGCTTCATAACTGGGTTTGGAATGTGCGAGCTGAATGTAGGCCATGACTGGGCTGCTCCCAGCTGCTGACAGGAGTAATGGCTGTGCTCATTGTAGGCTGTATTTTTAGGCAGTGTACATGAGGTGAGGGGAGGAAGCACAAATACTCACTGGAGCCTGTGCGTCTCTAACCTCTTAACCCATTTCCCCATGGCCTTGCTCGCATAACAGGACTACCCCACCACCTCCCCTCGCATGCTTTTCAATTCTTCACCGCCTGCCATCTGTACGCATGCTGTCATCGAAAATCACTCAGCCCTCTCTTTCCTACACTCTTTCTCAGTTATGTTTATTTTCCCCCCTTAATTCGTTCTCTAATCACAGTGAAACTCAGTATATACATAGCCACAGACAATTCTGTGTAAATCAGTGAACCGGTCAAGAATGTTTCAGATCATATTTCACCCCAAAATCGAAATAACAAAATAATTATGCTACACTTCACAGGCAGTTCATAAAAATAAATTAAGTAAAATAAATATATATATATTTTTTTTTAAATGAAGCGTACCCACTACCCACACAATTGTTATTAGTAGGTATAATGCAAAAAAAAGAAAAATTAAGTTATTTATAAAATAAACGTCTTAGGATTGCTTCGTATAAGAGTAATGGTTTTTTTTCTACAAATCTCTCTCTCTCTCAATTTTTTTCTTTCTCTAACCTTCTCACCCAATTATTACTGTAATGCAGGAAATAAAATATGTAATATTATTTGTATAAGTCTTTAGACAAAATTTAATTTCTTGTACTAAGCTAAAGTAATTAAAATTTGGTGGATAAATGTGGTTATTTATCAAAAATAACATTGCAAACAAAAAAAAATTAATGAAATGAAAATGGGCCTTTCCCCAAATAATTGGTCCTGGGGTGAAATGCGACTCAAGCATGTTTCTGCGAGATTCACTCTTCTAGTGTTGTCAACTGCATCTCTGTGATATGAGCAGTCTTATTACCTCTCCTCCGTTTGTACTCTGTATTTTAAAAGCTGTCCCTGTATCTCTGGTGTTTATTGTGCCAATCTGGTCTCTTTGCATGATGGAATGATGAAATAAGATGATCATTTCTCCTGAATAAACGGCTATCTGCGCACGTTCCCTTGGCTTCTTGCTGCTTCTGAGATCAGTGGGAAGAAAGGAAGCTCTCCTCACTCCTGCCAAAGAAAAATGGTTCAAGCAAACGGGCATAACATCCTCTTTAAATCTACTTCACTCAGCTGCAGTGATTTATGTAACAGTTTGCTTCTGAAGAACATTTTGAGTTTTGTAGTTGTACATTTCAAATGGTTGCTTCTCATCCCTAGCTTGGTGCTTTTTTTCAACCCGGTCCCCAGTGATGCAACTCATGCAACTCAAACATGAGCGAGACGATCACTACTGGGTGTTTGGCACTGTGT